CACTGAGTCAGAAAGAGCAAGTCACAAGTATTGATGCCTTTAGCATAGGGTTAGAGCAGGTACCTACGTAGGTAGGGCAGATGAGAATTGTGGTCCAAGACAGATTAGTTAAGTGTGGTTTCATGTAAAATACATAAACATCCTTTGAGTAGACTGTGGTGTTCCTATCCTCTGTTCCAGTGTGGAGTGCTACGTGACAGTTGTGGGAACTCGGGTTCTCTTTTTGGGTTACTATTGTTTACCCTATGCCTGAATCCCATGTATTAGGACAGCATTGTCAGATAAAGGTAGGGGATATGAATGGCGATTCTTACTCTTGTTTTCTTTTTTTTTTCTGTTTTGTTTTGTTTTGTTTTTGTTTTTATATCCCCAGCAACTTGCTGCCTTTAGCAGCCTCTCTGCCTTCATCTCTCTGTTGGTAAAGTGTTTTTTAATACTTCCCTAAATAAAAGAAATGTATGGCATGTTTTCTAAGTGCTTTGAAATCTTCAGAGAAGGGTGCAAGAAGAGCTTAAATGAGACAAATTCATTTTTAAAGGGATCCAACTTTGCCTGTGCCCTACAAAGGGTTATTTTGAAAGCTGGCGGTGGATGCCTCCTGCTGCTGCCTACAGGGAATGCACTTCACTAAGATCTATGAATGTTTGTTGAATTATAAAATGAATTTATGATGCAAAGCTGCACTGGCACATATAGCAGGTGCCTCCTGCTATGTTTCAGATTGCCACCCTGATCGAACTGGCACATGCAGGAAATGTTCGAACAGTCATGAAAGAAGGGAAAACTTTAAGAGTTGTTTGACTTTTCACCAATTCCTGTTGATAAAGACACCTATATTGCAAAAAAAAAAGAACCCCAAACATGGAAGAGGAGATTTTTGTTTTCTAGCTTTGGGGGCCTTTGATAATAACTGCTTTAGGAAGGTACAGTCACTGGCTGAGCTCACGGTAGAGGTCTCGGTGTTTCCCTCCCATCTGAGTGTTTTCAAGCCCGTATTGGTAACACTGCATCTGAAGGCAATGAAATCCCATCAGTTTGAGCTCATCTCTTGAGACCCTAATCTCTGACTGACTGTTGGCAGCACAGCCATAAGGAAAACTGCCAGAATGTAATTTATGTGTTGCTCCTCTGGAGAAGGAGACCCAAGAGGTGAAAGAATCAAACCACATGTGCAGAGGCACATGTTCACCAAGGGCATTTAAATCCAGGGGCAAGACTAAATCTAATGGGAAGTAAATCTGAAATACATATAGCGGAGATGTCAGGAGGCCAAGCACCAGCCACTTTCACTTACTGATCCATTACTGTTGTGCCAATGTACTTGCTGATGTGGACCTAGCCTAATGCTACTTAATCTGCACCAAATCTAGGACAGTTTGGGAGGGGTGGTGGGTGAGGAGCTATGTTCTGTGTATGCTGCATGAATGTTTTGCAAAGGGTAGTGAGAAAAGCATCTAAAAAGCTGGTTGTTTATTCAACCTTTCTCCTCCACAAAGTCAGTTTTTCAGTAAACAAGCTGCCGAGAGAATCACCTCTATTATTTATAGGGTGGTGGGTTTTCCAATATGTGCTCTCACCAACTAGAGATATACAAATTGACTGTGTTCTGGTGTGTCTGTTTCTCCTCTATGAACTTCAAAGACAAAATGCCATTTTAAAAACAGGTTAACTAACTAGGTCGGTATTTGTTCCAGGGTGAGCATGTGTGGTCTCTAAGACACTGAAGAAATTCTTCTTTTTGAAGGTCTGCATTTCACAGCATTGAAGGGTTCAGCAATGCTGGTTTAGCACAGGTCTTTTTTAAAAGCTGCATACTTCAGTGCTAAGGGGATTAGAGTTGAACACACTTTAATGAACACCTGTGAAGAGAGTGAATCTGTTTAAAAGAATAGACATGCTGTGCTTCAAAGTAATCCATAGAGAGAAATATGGAGAGCTGTTTTAAAAGAATACTGTGCATTTTAACTAACTAATTCAGTTAAAAGAATAAATTTTCAATGCGCAGAAAGACAAAATACAAGAGAAAGGAGAAGAGCTGTGTTATACAGCTACATCATTCCCTGCTACATTTTTTGCTCTTAATCTGAATAAAAGCAAGAAGACTTTGAACCACCTAACTGAAACAGACATTCAGGGTGCAGTTTCAGTGGGGTTTCTCTATGGCAATGGGATTATGCATTTAATGGGTGTCAGTTTTACCTTCTCTGTGCTTTTTAGTTGCTCTGATCCCTCAGGAAATGCGAGAATTTTGAGTGAGGATGTAATGATCACATTCACTAAGGGAGAAGTAATAGAATTTTTGCTGACTGATTATTTTATCACCTTTAATGCTTCCTTATGATGGTAATGAAAACCTTGAAATATTCAGCTGATGAAATGTTTTATGATTAAGACTGAGCTGGTCTTTTGCAGAACTGAATCTGGGGCCTGGTAATGGCTTTCGAAGGTTGGCACAGATGGCAACAATGGTAAAATACTCAGTGAATAGCACACAAATACTAAAGCAAAGATCTCTAAGACTCTTTTCATAGTACTATCTTGTGCTGAACGTCTTTTGTATGAGAAACAAATAGAACCTCGCCTGCCTAGGCAGTGCTGCTGGAAAGACCTATTTCCTACTGTAGGAAGACTAGAATTAAGAGTCTCTTTTTCAAGATTTTTAGTTTTAATTAGATGTCCTGTAACGGCGCTGCTCTTCATCCAGCCGTTCATTCCTTCTGCTGTTGCTCATGTACCACAGCTTGTCCTGGAGTGGAACCTTTTCACAGATATTTTGATTAAACTCATCCTGGCCTCCCCAGATAATTTTTGCAGGGGAGGTATTCTGTCTTTTCAAGCATAACAAATGTACATGGAGATCAAATTAATATCAGGATGAGAAAATGAAATTTTTTCTTTTGTAACCCTTATTGTCTGAGCCTTCTGAAGCACTTCGCAAACTTTAGGTCCTCCTTGAAGGGAGCATTGCTGTGCCTGTTTTAAATACAGGGAAAGGGGGAATGAAGGGCAAAGGAAATGAGACCTAAATAAATGAGCTGAACCGGAGCTGAAGGCTGACCTTCCACTTCTGCACAAGGCGACTATGAGTGGACCTCTCTTTCATATTTGAATGCACAGTAGAGGAGGGAACGTGTGATAGAAGGCAGTGTCAGATCAGTGTCAAACGGTACATTTAGATTAGATGTGAAGAAGAATTCTTCACCATGAGGGTGGTGAGACACTGGAACAGGTTGTCTGGAGAAGCTGTAGCTGCCTCATTCCTGGAAGTGTTCAAGGCCAGGTTGGATGGGACTTTTAGCAACCTGGTCTAGTGGAACGAAACCCTGCCCATGGTAGGGGTTGAAACTAGATGATCTTTAAGGTCCCTTCCAACCCAACCTATTCTACAATATACATCTGATTCTCAGGGCATGCCCCCATCTAAGTCAGTTTAACCTGGTTTCCTTGGCAAATACGTCAGTAGTGGGATTAGTGTGATGAAGTTCTCCCTTGCCAGCATGTCACTGGGCTATCCTACTGCTGGCAAGAGGGTGCCTGTGCAAAAGACATGAGGGTGCTAATACCCCTACGACAGCCCTACTGGGGTGAGCAGAGGGATGGCTGTGCTGCAGCCCTGCAGGACCCCCATGCTCTGTTGTGGAGATCACCTCAGGTCAGAGGCTCATTGGTGCAAGAGCCTTGTGGCCCTTCTCTTTGCCCATAGGAATGGCAAACAAGATAAGAAGGCTCCTTGAGCTAGTGCTCAAGTGTTATGGGTTTGCCCAAATGCAGTTGTGATCTTGAAAGAATTTTGAAAGGGCTTAGCTATTCTGCCTATGAAGTCTTTTGCCTTTTAGTGCTGCAGAGTGAAAACTTTGATACGTCCCTTGCATCTGGAGCCACCGATGTACCCCAGTATCCTTCATGAAAGGAACTTCTGTTATGAGGACCAACCCTTTAAAAAGTGTGTTTAGAGTGATTTAAGGGCAGATTTTCTCTTATTGTCAGGGTTTTTTAAGCTATTCAGATGAGACCCAGTTCACCAGCCACAGAAACAAAAGAACAGTGTAATCCAAAAATGTGTAAAATGAAGGGAATGAAAGTCTCTTCTTAGTCTGTGTGGAATCAGCTTAAAATGGGTCTAAAATAAGTAGGATTTAACTGAAGTACAAAAGATCAAACCTTAGAACAAATTGTCAGGTAATTTTAAATAAATCCTCTTTGCTCCTTGTGCTAATAATGAGACTGCTCTGCAAACCTGGATCACTGCTGTTTCGGAGCAAACAGCTCTTTATCTATATAGTTGCTCTTCTCACCTCAGCACATCAAACCTGAGCCACCTGTAGTGATTTGTGACTGAAAAGAATGTCCCCTGGAATAATAAAACTGATTCCAAAGGTAGAATTTGACGTTTCCTTCTTGATAACTTTGTTGATCCTTTGAAATGGAAAGAAAGCTCAGTTCCCATGCTGAGCATGGGGGGAAAGAGATCCTCTTGCTGAGGTCAGGGTGTGCCTTTTATTAGATGCTGTTGGTTTTTATTAAAGAAAAAAAGGTGGGGGAGAGGCCAAGGGAACACACACGTGCTACCCCCCCCCCCCTTTAGTACCTGTGAAAAATTATGTAAGTAAAATACAGCCTTCCAAACATGAGGGCAAGAGTGGAGTTTGGTCAGTACGCAGGGAGAAAACCACAGAACGAGGTGATTCATCTCCGTGAAACCTTTTTAGAGGAGGAAACATGATTTGCAGTGAGGGTTTGGTCTGTCCCTCTTGGACACAGGAGCATGGGTCCTGCTTCACTCCAGTTATCTCCTCTCACCAGGGCTAAGGTTGGTACTGGGCAGCCAAAGCCTCCTGTGCTGCTTGTGGGTGACTTTATCTGGTGGTGAGGAGGGAAGTGCCGCAGGTAAATTCATTTGCACATCACCTGCATGTTGTAGGAAATTAATAGCAACTGATGAAGGGCAGGGACAGATTGATTAGCAGCCCTCAAAAGCTGGGTGTAGCAAGCCTTAGCAAGGTTGGGAGTTGTTTGTGCTTGGTTTAAAAGTAAATCAGGGATTTGTGTAATCATTTATTTTAGAGCTTTATTATGTGTAGGTCTATGAGGTGGTGATTAGAACTGGATTTCATAAACTGTGTATTCAGGGAGCACAGCAGATGAAGACAGCAGCATGTTCTCCCTATTGTAATACTCCTGCAGAGAGGTTTTGCTGAAGATTGCTCAGGTAAGATCCCAAAGGGTCATTTGTCCTACCCATAGGGTAAAGTGTCATTACAATAAGGGGGCTTCATGTTGCAGCCAGTGCTCTAATTTTCTCAGTTAATAAAATAGAAATAATCTGTCTTAATCAAAGTACTGTAAAATTCAATATATGCTAATCAAACCTTTTGAGAGATTAGTGATTATTCACGGGGAAATGTGAAAAGAGGCTGCTTAATGTCGATTTTGGGGGTGTTTTTGGTGCATCAGGGTGCTTGGTGGGAAGGCTGTACTTTGGAATACTTGAAATTGTTGCGTGGTGGGGAGATGGAAGCTCTCCGAAGTTTGCTTTCCCATACAATTTTGAAAGCTGGTTTCTGAAAGAACAGATACACAAAAATACGATGTTCTGTGGAGGCTCTTGAGCTGTCCTTCCCATTCCTCTCTCCCTCCCCCCCTCCCTCCCTCCCCCCTTCTCTAAGGGGAAAGCTCGAAACGGTTCAAGCATTATCAGCGGCACTACCTCACAGAAAGCCTGACGTTTGAAAGGGACGTGTCCGGCGCTGATTTGCTTTCTAGGCACGTTTACCTCGCGGCAGCTCCGTGCCAGGGGCCCGGGCTGCGCCTCACAGCCGTGGAGATAGGGGGCAGCGCCGCGCCGCCACCGGCACCGCTCGGAAACGAGCCGCTTTGTAGCCTCCCGGGTTCAGTGAGCAACCCAGTTAAGGAGGATAAAGCAAGCCAAACGTGAGAAAGGTGGCGTGTGTCTGGGGAAAAGAAGTTTAAGCGTGAAGGTAGCAATAGGATACACGAAGAAGGGAGCAGGCAAACACCTCCGGTTAGGGCCACCCGGCTACAAACTTCATCCCTCTTTCTGGAAAATCCTGTAAGAGGAGAAATGAAATGTTTGAATGTTTGGCAGGTGCTCTGGGTTTAGGTAGTGCTGTGGGCTGTACTGGTGGTGTTGGAAAATGTCTCATATCTACACAAGGTGCTTTTGAAGAGTAGATTCAGCTGTGTTTCTTGTAAGTGTGGTTTTAATGGCTGCTAAGATGCTCGTGGGGTGGATTTTTGTGTGTGTGATTTTTTTTTGTGTGTGTGTGTGTGTGTGGGGGGGTGTTTCTGTTTGGTTTGGTTTTTTTTTTTGTTAGTTTTCTGACCGTTCCGCTGGTGGTGCGTGGTTGTGTGCCTGTGCTCTGTGCTGCCAGGGTGGGGAGAAAGGCTGTGCAGGGACTGTTAGCTAATACCTGTGTTCTGTCACAGGCTTTGATTCCCATGTCCCTAAGGCCAGTGAGGTTTAGCCCATGTGTGCTCATTACACAGCGCTTGGCTGGGCCAAATGCAGTCAAGACAGACTGTGTTGATTGGTGTTTTACTCTGTGAGTACTGCCATTGGCTCAGTGAGGTTATAACTGCTGAATGTCAGCAGAAGGATTTAAGTCTGACCCATATAGTATTTCTAAGAGTATACTGTATATTGCAAGCGTATTTATATTTTCGTTTTTTGAACACAGTAGTACTATGGTGAGTCAGTGCTGCAGTCCAGGACTCAGTGCACAAAAAACCCAAATGTAGCTATTGTGACTAACCTCAGAAATCAAAATTCCAATCAGGAAATGTTGATAATTAGTCTACCTACATTTCTAGTGTTTAAAAAAAGAACACAAGCTCTTTTGTTTTGCTTACAATATAGAAATTATCTGATGCTGCTTCCGCCCCCCCCCCCCATTTTGCCCAGCTAAGTGAAGAAAATGTTATGGCGGTTCCTGCCTTCATATAATAGAGATTTTTATCAATGAAGATTTCCAAGATTTCTTACATGCAAATATTTTTTTTTTTTTTTTAGGGATTTTCCCAGTGTGGAAGTCTGTATTTCATTTGGATTTTGTGTTGTTTTTTGTTTTTTTTTTTTGTTTTTTTTTTTGTTTGTGGTTTTTTTTTTTTTGTTTTAACAATCGAAAAGAGCAAGGATGTGTTTTCTGGGCTGCTGTTAGTAAAGTAATTGTCAGGGGCGAAAAAAAGAGGCTGCAGGAAGAAGCTCTAGTGTAATACATATGTTGTGCCATACTTGGGTGAGTGAAAGGAGAGGACTTTGCTGCTTGCTAATACAGTGAGTCTCTTGCAGATGATGCTTTTGAAAATATGGTAAGGCTGTTTTACCATGTAAACATTAAATACAGAGTGGTTTGGCTAGGCTGCTCAGGGTTTATCTGTGGTCCCATGCAAGTATGGAGGAGGATACATCCTGAAAATGAGTGTAAAGGGAATTCTTTGTTTATGTGGGAAAGATGCAGACTTAAGTGAAAGAGGAGCTTTGGGTTCTGCATGAATCAGGCTGTACTCACACCAAAGGAGTGACAAAAAGATAAAAGTGGAGAAAAAGCTATGTAATCTTCCAGGTGTGGTATTTTGCGCTGTGTTTTATGGTCTTGCAGCTCAGAAAAATGAACTTTCATTTAATTCTTGTGGACTCAGACAGGACATGGAAGACTTCACTTTAGAAGATACATGCTGGAGTTTAGACACAAATCTTCAGGCTTAAAAAAACATAGCTTTCAGGTTCATTAAAAGTTTCCTTAAAGCTTTGAAACTCACTCTTTCATTGAAAGAGGAGCTCTGACCAAACCAGGGTCTGACTAAAATTGGTGGGCAGAATCTGTGTCAGTTATGTGGCTTTGAATTCAGCCCCTAACTCGCAGCATTTGATAGTTTGGAGGAATTTTGGAGAAATTCTGAAGGCTTGTTGCACAGGGAGCTGTGCAAAATAAAAGGTGTCACCTTGCTTCTAGCCAGCAGACGCAGTCATGCCTTGCAAAGCTCTGGTGTGCACACATTGGCCTAAGTACAGCAGCTATGCCTTACTTTGAATCCCAGTCTTTATCTGGATCTCTTTCAGGCTTAAGCATGTCAAAGGTTAAGGTGATTGGTGATACTGCTTGATGAAAGTGTAATATTTTTTTTTTTCTTAGTTCTTTTTATTACAAGATGTTTTTGCTGTTCTGGGGCTTCATGAATGTATATGGTGTCTTTAGCAGTCAAGTCTCTTCTTGGCAGCTGAGTGCTTATAATGGTCATGTTTTTTTCTGTATGTTAAAGCAAGAGTTCTGAAGTTGCATTGCAATCCAGTGTACTCAGATTTGTGCTAAGGAACTGGCTTGAAGTTTTATCAGTAAAATGATAATAATTTACTTTGTTTTGTTGGATAGCAGCATAAATATTAGAGCTGTCAAATAAAGCTGGATAAAACACCTTGAGCTGAAACTTAGCTGAACTAAAACAGATATTAGAAATAATTTGGCTTCAAAGTAGATTTCCGGCTTCCATGTTTGGAATTTAGGCTATTCCGATCAATATATCTGGTCTCCAAGTTCCTGCCCACCTTTATCTTATCATATCAATAAGATAAGCCTAAGCCATTTTAGCCTTGGATCTCTCTGACACAGTTGTATTCTTGATGCAGTTTCATTGAGTTGCTTGCAGAGACGAGAGAGGGATACCTGTTTCTTCTTTCTGATGGTGAACTTAATCCCTGGATGCACTGTTATTTGCATTGAGGAAAGCAGCAAAAGGTCATTGATCACACTAGAATTCACGTCTAATCATGACTGAGGATCAGTTTTACATGTTGCATATGCCTGTCATTTAGACTTGTTCAACTGACTTTGGTCCAGCCTCTTTCCTTGTGTTTTATTTTAGCTCATACCTAAATTTAGCAGTCAAAGACTGCCAGAGCTCTCCAGTGTGTGCAGTGCACTATGGTGGAAAATCCCTATCTCTGAGATTCGCCCCTCTCCAGTAGACCAGCACCACCGCACTGGTTACCTTCAGTGCTTGACTTTTCAGTTTATGCTCTTTGTCAACAGCAGAGCAGTTCTTTCATTGGGTTAGTTTGTAGCTAATTTAGCTGACCTACGGTTTTAATTTTTTGGAAACTGAAAATAAGCCTTGTAGGCCCTTAATAGATATTTTTACAAATAGAAGGAAAGCAGACACGATTTTTAGCTGAGAGGGATTGCTTTAGAGGAGAATATTAGAGAGACACAATTTCACAAATGTATTGCACAACAATACACTAATTCTTTGCATGTATCCAGGGGCCTCAGCCCAAAGGTAGCTGAAATTCTATACCATAATTGCATTCTTTCAAAATTGCAGCTATAAGAGACCGTAGTTGTTTCCAGAAAAATGTTAAAAATGTGCGTTTTTCTGTACATACGTTGCATATGTTAGCATTCAGTCATAGATTACTTCATTAACCTTTGCTCTTCAGAAGCCTTGGAAAGGAAAAATATTTGAAGGAAAAAGAGATTGGGGGGAGCTGAAGGGATTTCTTGAAAGGTCAAAATCTATCAAGTTAGATCCCCCTGTCCCCTGCTCGACCAAACAGCTCCTGCTCCATGTCTCCACAAAGAAACAAATAGGTGTTGCAGGTGCTGAAGAACTGGAGATTGTATCACTGCTTGTTCCTTATGTTTGCTTTCACGCATTTAATAGCCCTCTTCAATTGTTCGTTTATTCAGATTTTTTGTTGTTCTTGAATGAAAGCTGTAGTAACAACTAAACACTCCACAACAAAGCCAAAAATCCAGATAAAATATGTCTTTCTTTTAATCCACTGTTTTGCTTTAAAGGCATTGGAACAAGGGTTACCTGACTGTCTTGAGCTTAAGATGCCTTTAGCCTTGCTAACTCATCAATACGCCTAGTTTTGATTTAGTTGTAGCTGGGGTTTTTTATCCTATTTATTTTTATTACATGTTTTTGGTGTCCACCTGGTGACAATAATATACAGAATGAAGCTAATCTCGCTCTATATTCTGGATTCAATCTTTTATAAGTGACTTCTCATGGCCAAGTTATAAGCCTTTGCAATATGGGAAATGCTGACAGTATCTTAGCAGTGTCTGCAGTAATGGGTGTTTCTCTAATGTAAACAAGTGGTGTTATTGGGCTCTCTTTTTCCATTCTCCCTGCTTTCTTGCAGAGGTGTTTTATCATTCATCAGCTACAAAACCAGCATCTTTT